GTGACAATTATTCTGACACTCTTTATATCTCACGTTGGTAATCATCAACAACACAAGTACTACAACTTCTTTTTCCACTTTTCAGCACCACTTGACATTTCTTCATCCAAAAAAAACCTTAATTCTTGTTTGAAATGGGTTATTTTAGAGGTCCACAAGAATGCAAGCTCTCCACGTTAAGTTAAGTTACAAAATAAAGAAACCTCAAAAGAATTACCTAGCATGTACATAGAGGTGGGTATATGGCCTAAGGCCCATGGGCTATCTGTTTAACCCGCGGCTCGTGCGGGTTTTGGACATCAAAAATTGAAGTTCGTTTAAATTGAGAGCTTTTTAGCCCTGACCGTTAAACTCGTGGGTTTAATGGGTATAACCGCGGGAAGCCCGCAATAGCCCGCTTAATTTAAAATTTATAAAATTTTAGAGAAAATAAACTTAAAGAATTTTATAGAAAAAGAAAATAAATTACCTATAAATATGATGTTAATTATAACCATTGTAGTTCTTAAATTTATTAGGGCATTTGTTATAATTCTACCGTTGTTTGATATATTTTTTTCATTTACAATGTATCAAATTATTCTTCATTTTAAAAAAATAAAAGTTAAAAGATTTATATAGTATTTTTTTTCTTATAAAATTTATATCATTATCAGTTTGGTATTTAAAAATTTTTTTATTTAATTTTGACCATTATTTTTTTCATAAAGTATGTTATCCATTTCGTTCTTTAATTATAAAAAGTCACGTGATATTCTAATAATATATCACATGACACGTAATATTTGGATAAAAAATACGAAAGAAAAGTAAAAGAAAAAATTGAAAACATACTTTTCAACTTTTAAAGGCTTTTACAAAAGAAAATTTGTTATATTTGTATAATGTTTGACTTTGTTGAATTTTTCTGTTTGAATTTATACTTGCAGACACTTTTGTGTCTTCATATTATAGCCTTGAATAATCGTGTTTTATAAAAGTATAATGTGATTATTGTTTTATTTGTTTTTCAATTTAGTGATATAAGTGATTTTTTTTAATTTGAGTTTAAGTAATTATATCGTTATATATGTATATATATTAATGATTAAAAAATTAAAAAATATTATTTTATAATCATTTTTGGCTATTTAAAATAAAATTTAAATATTATTTATTATTTTGAGGGTGCTACCTTCCTTTTTAAGTTACTAAATCATTTTTAAAGGTGTAGCAAGTTAGAACATTATTTTTATTGCATTTAAAGCATTTAAAATTATTTTTATTTAACAGGTCGCATGTAAGCCCGTAAACGGACGGGCCATGGGCCTTAAAATTCAAAATCGTTTATGATTATAGGCTTTTTAAACCGCTCCGTTTAAGCTCACACCGTCAAAATCCGCGGACTAAACGGGCGGGTAGCCCGTATACCCACCTCTACATGTGTATATATATAAGGTTCATTGGCATTGTTCTAATTAGAGACGGATGAGACGAATTCATAAAATTTGGAGATAAAAATATATTTTTAATAAAAAAATATATAAAAAATCAAAATATATTATAATTTTAAATTTTTATAAGGGACGGCAGTATCATCCCTCCATGAAACCATTGAAAGAAGGACATCATCACTCCTTTTCACATACCTCCACTTTATGTTTTCTAGGGTAAACTACAACTGTAGTCACTGAATTTTTATGATGCTTTCATTTTGATTACTAAACTTTAAAATAAACATTACAATCACTACATTTTTAACTAGGGTTGTAAAATCGGGTAATCGTTTAGGTTTCAGTCGGATCCTGGCAAGTCGGGTAAAATCGGATACAAGTCAAGTCAGGTAAATTTAACACCAGATCCATATCGGGTTCAGGTCAGGTCAAATCAATTCGGGTTATTTTCAGGTTGATTTGACACCAGATCCAGATCGGGTTCTGGTCAGGTCATTTTCACTTCGGATCGTTTCCAGTTCAGATCAAAACAATTCAAGTCCGAAGCAGTTAAAAAGCAGGTTAATTCAGGTTCAGATAGACTTCAGGCGGGTCTCGTTCAGATCGGGTCGCATCATTGGCAGATAAAATTCAGGTCGGATCTCTATCAGATACAGATTGAGTTCGTTAATTTTTATTTTTGGATTAATTATTTTCTTCTTTCACGAACGTTGAATTGCAATTTGTAATTGTATATGATTTAGAGTAAATTACTAAGAATATAAATAATCATGGTTCAATTTTATGAAAAATACAAATTTGAGAATTAAATTGAACAAATATGAAATTACAAATAAAAATTTAAATAAATTAAACAACACACGTTGATAAGGGATCAAATCGAAATAATTTAAATTGTGAGGTTGAAATTAATACAAAAAAGTACTAAATTATACCCATTTAAAAAGTTATGGACCAATTAAAAAATAGGATTAAGTAATAAGTATGGATCAATTTCATATGCAAATAAAATTTGGAGGACTAAATTGAACAAATATGAAATTACAAATAAAAATTTAAAAAAATTATACAACACACATTGATGAGGGATCAAATCGAAATAATTTTAAATTGTGATGTTGAAATTAATACAAAAAAGTACTAAATTATACTCATTTAAAAAGTTATGGGTCAATTAGAAATAAGTAATAAGTATGAGTAAATTTCATATGCAAATAAAATTTGGAGGACTAAATTTAATAAATATGAAATTACAAATAAAAATTTAAATATATTAAACAACACACATTGATGAGGGATCAAATAGTAATAATTTTAAATTGTGAAATTATTACAAAAAAAGTACTAAATTATACCCATTTAAAAAGTTATGGGCCAATTTAAAAATAGAAATAAGTAATAAGTATGTGTTAATTTCAGTTGCAAATAAAATTTGGAGGACTAAATTGAACAAATATGAAATTACAAATAAAAATTTAAATATATTAAACAACACAAAAGGGATCAAATCGAAATAATTTTAAATTTTGAGGTTGAAATTAATACAAAAATGTACTAAATTGTACTCATTTAAAAAGTTATGGGCCAATTAATAAATAGAAATAAGTAATAAGTTGAGAAAAAAATTAAAACAACTAATATATATATATATATATATATAATATAAACTATATAGTTTATATATAAAGAATGTGTATTATATATATAAACTATATAGTTTATATATATATATTATGTATAAACTATATATACCATGTATAAACTATAATACTATATAGTTTATATATGAACTATTGAACTATATAGAAACTACATAGTTTATATATAAATTATATATGAATTATATATAAACTATACAATTTATATTTATATTTTATATATAATTATAAATAATATATATTGTATAAATTATATAGTTTATTAATATAAATTATATAGTTTATATATATATAGTAGATATGATTTAGGGTTATATTTATATTTATATTTATATAAACTACATACTATAATTTATATTTATATACTATATTTTATACTATTTATATAAACTATAGTTTATATTTATATACTATATATATGAACTATAGTTTATATACTAAGGTTGATATTTACATATGAACTATAGTTTACATATGAACTATATATATAGTTTATTAGTGAACTATATACACTATTTATATAGTATATACTATATATATAAACTATAGTTTATATTTATATACTACATATTATAGTTTATATTTATATACTATATATTATATATATATATAAACTATATATATTATATGGTATAATTTACATATGAACTATATATAAAAATACTAAACCCTAAACCCTAAACTATACATTATATAGTTTATTAGTATATATAAACTATATGATATATATAGACTATGTGGTATATATAAACTATACATTATATATAGTTCGTTAGTATATATAAACTATATACTATATAGTTCATTAGTATGTATAAACTATATAGTATATATAAAATATATATTATATAGTTCATTAGTATATATAAACTATATATTAATTTATTAATATAAACATATATATTAATTGAAAGAATTGAAAAATATATAATGATCAAATTGAACAAATTTTAAATATGAACTATATATAACCTATAGTATATGTATATATACAATCTATTTATATGCTATATAAACTATATATGTAACCTATAGTTTATAAACAATAGTTTATATTAGTGTACTATATAGTTTATACTTTATAACCTATAATATATAATTTATAAACTATAGTTTATATTAATGTACTAGATAGTTTATATTAATATTAATTATATTAACTATATTTTATAAACTATACTATATAATTTATAACATATAGTTTATATTAATATTAACTTTATAAACTATATTTTATATTAATATTAACTTTATAAACTATATTTTATATTAATATTAATTACAAATTATAAACTATATTATATTAATATAAGTTAATATTAATATTAATTTTAATATTAATTATAAATAATTTTTTAATATAAATTTTATAGGGATAAAATTAGCGCCAAAATAGTTATTTTCTTCCTCTCTTCCCGCTAAACCCTCCCGCTTTATTTTCGATCTCTCTTCTTCCCCGCTCAGCATCCAAAACCTCTCCCTTTTATCTCGTTTTCCCTCTTTCATTTTTGTTTTCGTTTTCCCGGCCAAAATCATTTCTGTTTGCTTTTGTTTCTTCATATTTTATGATGATTTGATTGGATTTCTAAATTCTAAAATAGGTTTTCTTTAAGAGAAAGAACTTTGCTTTAATGGAGGTGTTTGAGCACTGTCTTTTTGGTCCCCTTTCATTCACAGATTCCCAGTTCATTGCGCTGCTTTTTCGTCGTTTTGATTCCCAAAAGCATTCAGCTGCGCCGAAATTTTATTTGTTCTTCGTTCTCCCCTTTTGGGTTCCTTTTTTTCAACTACAAAAAACGTTTCTTTTACATGCTGAAAGGTGGATTTGATTCAAGGAAAGAACCGATGGAAGATTTTGGTTAATATTGTGAGTGTTCAAAGTTCAAATCTTTGTTGTTCAACTGCACAGGTTGTGGAAGTAAGCATAGAGAAGATGAGTTGTTTCCCTTGCTTCAATCCTCGCTCTAAAGATGCAAGGATCGACATTGACAATGGAAGTCGAACTACTTCTAGCCAGTCCGTCGATTCCTCAGGTTCTTTTCCATTTCCCTATCTCTCATTCTTTTTTCCGTATAAAATTTGCTTATCTGGGTTCATTTGTTCTTCGTATTTTCTAACCAGTTTCCTGCGTTAAGAGATGGAAAGCAAGCCAAGAAGGTAATGTCCAGGATTTTAACACCAAATTTCGTGTTATTTCAGTGGATTTGATTAGTAATTTTTTTTTTTGAAATTCTGGTAACAGATCATAAGAATGGAAGTGATCAGGGAAAAGGCTCCAAAGGCAGTGGAGCACGTAGGTTCACATTCCTAGAGTTGGCAACAGCAACAAAGAATTTCAGAGAAGCCGATGTGGTTGGGGAAGGAGGATTCAGAAAGGTTTTCAAAGGTCGAGGAAACCGGGCAGGTAAAAATTGATGCTTTTCATTTCAAATTCATGTATCCGTTTGTCATATTTCCATAATCTGTTGTCTATTATACATATTAGGTAGCTTTTAAAGTTTGAATTGGATCATTTATGTTCTTGTAACTGGCCAGATCGTAGCGGTGAAACAACTTAATCACGATGGTCTTCAAGGCTATCAAGAATTCATTGTTGAGGTTCTTATGCTCAGCTTGTTACACCATGTTAATCTGATCACTTTGATCGTCTATTGCACTGCCGGGGATCAGAGGCTCTTGGTTTACGAATACATGCCGATGGGCAGTTTGGAAGATCATCTTTTTGGTAATGTAAACTAAATGCAGATTTCCATTGAACATGGAAGATCATCCATTGTTTCTTGCTACTTTTCTTAGTGTCCCTTATTATGTTTGGAGGCCTTGTGCTAGTGTGTACTGTAATTTAATAATGCAGAACTCTAGGTCTCATTCTAGATTTTCGCTATTGATTTTGGAGCCATGCAAGGAGAAATTTATTTTTGAGTCTACTAATAATGTTTGCGTTGCTGAATTTTTCTTTAATTTGTGGGCATTATGTGTAAAGCTTCCATTATTTGTACAGACATTTTACCCTTCAACCAATTTCAGTATTCGTCTTGAAGCAAGAGTGCATAACATCCAAATCTGGTAGAATAGCCTTAGAATGTGTGCTTTATATGGCCGTGCATTGTGCAATCATATTCGCTATTTAATATCCCTAGCACTTGAGGATGCAAATATTTATTCGTTGATTACATGTAGTTAATCAGATCATTTTCATATGTAAAGGGATTGTTTTGTATTGTTGTGTCTAAATGAAGAAGCCAACTTCTGACCACTTATCGGCGATATCCTAGTCGCACTTGAATATTTGGCTTCTCAGAGTCAGAATTGGGCTCCTAAATCATATAATGTCGAGGTTTGCAATAGCTCACAGTCCTCACCGATGCAACCAGGGAAAGGGACCCCTCGTCGATCCAACCTCAGAAGGAGTTTGGTCGCTGTTTGAAGTTATTCAGTAAACTTTGATCAAGTAAGGTGCAGCTCATTTTTTTATTTCAGAATATAGCCTAGTTTAGAATGATCTCTTCTTTCTCGATGTTACAAGAACGAAACACATCGGTATAGGTTGTTACCCAAAGGTCGACATGATCGAACATAATATTTACCGACAAGTGAGTACATATATGAGTACATTTTGTTATGTTGACGAATTCATATTCTTATTTCCTATTGCATTTTTATTTGGTAAAATTGTTTTGTTTAGTTGATTTTATTGTAATTTTAGAGTTTACAATTGTAATAAAATTAACTTTATTTATAAATTTTTTGTTTTAGTATTTGTAATGTTATTCAAGTTTCAAATCTTTAATAAGTTCATCATTTCAACTAATATTTTTTATTTTAAAATTTCAAGTTAAGTTATACTTAAATTATTAATCAATTTTCACATTAAAAGTAAATTAGATTTATGAATATTTTAACTCAATATATATAATTTAATAAAATCATGTTCAATAAGATAATATTGATAATATTTAAATTTAATTTAGTGATTATAAATAAAATTTATAATATAAGAATTATAAATAATATAAAGAATTTGAATTAATATAAAAATCAAATTTATAATATACAAATTATAATATAAGAATTATAAATAATATAAATAATTGTAATTAATATAAAAACTAAATTTAATTATCATAAGTTTATTATAAATTTAAAATAACATAATTATATTAACTGTAATTTATTACTTATAAGTCAGGATAATATTATATCATTTTAATAACGTGTCAGTTCATTTACAGGTTGAGTCAATTACAGATTAGGTTCATAACAGGTCAGGTTGAAAACACGCCAGGTAATACCAGTTATTTACCAGGTCAATCTCGGGTTCGGGTTCATATCAGTCGGATGCAGTTCGGGTTCGGGTATCATATTTTTGGTTCAATTCGGGTTCAGGTCATTCTCAGGTCGGATGCAGGTCGGGTTCAGATCCACAATTTCCAGGTCAAACTCGGGTTCAGGTTAACACCAGTTCCGACTCAAGTCGGTTTCGGATCGTCACAGCACAGGTCAAAAACAATTTTAACTCGAATCGGTTTCAGTCAATTTTACAGGTCGGCTCAGTTTTTTACACCCCTATTTTTAACTCACTTTCATAACGGCCATTCACTAGCTGTCGTTAATGTATACTTTTTTTTTAATCTTTTAAAAGTTGAATTTAATCGTTACATAGTAAATTTGGAGTATACTTTCAAGCTTGCAATGTAGCGTGTAAGAGTAAGACTATCATTCTAATAAAGAATTAGACAAATGCTAAATGGGGATTAGTGGAGGAAAATCTTGTCTATTACACAACATTGGAAGTGACCTTCAATTATCTTTAGATATGATATTTCAACTGCCTTTGAAGATAATAGGGAATTAATTTGGACTGTGTAAAACCGATATTTTTAGTCAATGATCTTTCAAATATTATAAAAAAGTCATTAAATTTCTCAAATGATTACAAAATAGTCATTTAAATTTATCGAACGGCCATAAAATAATCTTCAACTTATTAAATTATAGAAAAATTATCCTTAAATTCATTGAAATTTATAACTATTTTAACGTTGTATGGGACCATTTTATAAATGTTAAGAATATTGGAATATCATTTTTAATATTCGAAAGACCGCTAACAAAAAAATATTTTTACATAATTCAAGGTTTCGGTGTACTTCACCCTTAATTTTATTGATAATGGATTTAAATATTACAAAAAACGCATATATATATATATATACAACATGCTCCCACCTTTGAATATCGATGGAAGGCAATGATCAAAATTAGTGATGAATTATTAGAGGGATGACATCGGTCGAGTCAGGTTGGGTTTTTTGTCAATTTGATCTGACTCAAAAATGTACACTTAATTCGAATTTGACCTGACCGGAAATATATATGTCCTCCATATGATTTTGATTCCCAAAAATGTATATTCTCAACACAACCTTATCTAATATAAAATAAGGATTTAAATAAATAATAATAAAGATTGAGTATTATAGCAATTATCCATAAATTTATTTGAGGAAATTACGTTATTACCCTTAGTCGGATCGAAGTTTTTTCAACGTCCATTTAAACTCGACCTGGCCCAACCTCACTCCTTTATAAAATTAATCCAACCCCAAAATTTTAGAAAAAAAATCGGATCATGCTAAATCATATCGGGTCAAAATTCGTCAAATCCATGTTAAATTACGGTTCTTAATTATTAGTAAAAAATGGGGATTAAAATGGTTGCAATTGCTTGATTTAATTAAATTAGTGGGTCAAATTGTGACGCCTTAAAAATCACTTCTAGTGGGCCCTTGAAACTGTGGCAACAACTCATGTCTAAGTACCCAATAACATTTTGATATTAAATGATAGAAAATTCAAAATTCTTTTGTATAATGGTGAAGTGATATCGTTCTCCAATACTAATATAATGTTTTCGTATTTACATATTTAAATAAAAATAAATAAAATTTAATCAATGTTATATATTTCAAAAGAAAATTGACTGACAAGAACAAAGAAGAAAATAAGAGAAAAATACGATAATTTTCATGTGTTTAAAACAATAAATTAAATTTGTCTTTTATAAGAAAGTTAGGGGATGACGTATATATGAGCATTTATCTTCTATTACTTATTAAGAGTAAATTCGATAGATTATATTTAAATATTTGAATAAGTTAATGTCTAACATATATGAAAAAAGATTATAATGTTATGACATGAAATTGTTATATATATATATGAGATAGGATCTTGTTACACAATGTAAAACTCTTTTAGTTACACAATGTAAAACTCCTTTAGTATTGTAAAACTCTTTTAGTTTTACACATATTTATGATCATTGGATAAGTAAAAATAGATGACTGAGATTAACAACAAATATACTCTTTTTTTCATTTAATATGTTTTATTTTATTTTTATTAATTTTCTTTTATAAATTCTTTCTTTCCGTGAATTATTTGATTCATTTATACTCATATTTAAATTATTTAATATTTATTTTAAGTTGAAATAAAAATATTACATCATTAAATCGATAAATCAACTTATAATCGGTATAAATAAATTTTATTCATATGAGATGAGGTTATTCATGCATTTTACTTGCAGGTTGTTTTGGGTGACAGCTCCAAGCAATTTGGGAGAGGAAAAAGAAAGTCAAACCGTTCACATGTATTGTATTAAAGTGTTGGGTTTTTTTTCTATTAATTAACTAAATGTTAACTCGTTTCTTAATTATAGTTGACTTAAGAGTGTGTGTATGCTGATTTATCTTTAGTATTGTTGTGTTTCACAGCTCTCGTTGAGGATGAATTTGTCACATTGCTTTCATTCGGGTTTCAATATCATCATGGAGTGAGCCAGAATTAAATATTGACATGGGTCGAAATATTGGAATGTTTTAAAAAAAATATAAAAACTTATTAGATATTTAAATTCAAAATTCAACACAAACCAAGCGGCCTTAGTGATTAAGGGATTGTTATTATCCTTGAGGTTTTGAGTTTGAGCATTGCACATGTAGAGGTATGAATGTTTATTGTCAAATAGTTAAGAGTCTTTGTACATATATTACCTTATTCAATCTATATTTTAAAAAAAAATCTCAAAATTCACAAGATAACACCTAATTTGTCTAATATTTAAACTTACAATGACTCAAACTGTTATTAGACCAAATATTTTGAGAACACAAGGTTATCCTTCTTTAGTTCAATCCTTACTTGATTAAATATTTAATGAATTCTCATATTTTTTAATTTAAATATTTATTTTTACATGAATCAAAATACTATTATATCAAAATTATATTGAATATATAAATTTTAACAGGGATCGAAACCCTCTTGGACCCTCACTAAACTCCGCCCCTAAATATCATAGTTAAGTATGATTTTGTCATTGAAAATAAAATAATAATCATATTATGATATTCAACAAATATTTAATTTAATTCGTTGGACAAATCAAAACATACAACTTTAAATATTAATTATAATTTAATCCACGAAATCAACCTTTCACTAATTTGATTAATGTTCGATTTTACTCGTTATATTAATCAATTTTCAATTCAACCAACACAATTAAGTAGCCAAATCCGAGTTAAATCAATGATGGAATAGATTTATTGGCTTCAACAAACCCAGAAAATGCATGAAAACAATGATATTAACACAATGTGCCGACACGTAGCAAGCCTCTGGACCGTTCTCCTTAAACGATAAGTGTATGAACAATTAATTCTGTCGAG